TAAAAAATTCAAAATAATAAATTTCTCTGGAGGACCACCTGTCTACATGTATTAAACTTGTACCTACCTAGTAATTATTAAACGCTTGGGTTCTCCTTCTCCTATTATCATGATGCATTATTTGTTAAATTAATACAATATTGCAATGTCATTAAGTTAGTAATTTTAATTTGTGGAAGTGAGTGAGGCTACACAACGTTTGTTTTGCCTACTGCCTAGCTATAGCCTATAAGATCCTAAACCTAAATACGTCAATAGCTGGAATCAGTATTCAGTTCCCAGTGGAACCTATTTAATATACCTAATAATTAATAGCGTCATCGTAAACCGTTCACGCAGACGCACGATTAAAGATAATATTATTATACTTGATGGATAACAATATTACTCTGTAGTCAGTACTCTATCAAGTCACTACAAGTATACAAGTCACTATAGGTAGGTAGGTAGTAGGTAGGTAAATACTAAAAACTATGTTTATTTAAATATAAAACAAAAATTGTATATGACAGCGCAATCTGGCAACGAAAGCGTGGTGGGTGCGATATTAATAGGTATATAAAGTTAAAAGTACGATTACACCATAGAACACCCATGTCACCACCAGTGTCGGTCTGGCTAATAATACTCAATGGGCCCCAAACAAAAAAATAAAAATATTTTTTACTTATATACAATTAACATCATAAATTCATAAATCATAAGTATAACAATACTAGAATCCAATGTTATAAACATTAAACATGATATTATAATTATTAAGTAGAATTATTTTGTGTTAAATTTATTGAAGTTAATATAAATAAAATAATGTATTGGTACAGCTTTCATAAAATAAATATAATTTCAATTTGACAATTATTTTGGTAAAAAATATATAGATTGGTACTTTTTAATGATTGAATAGACACAACACACAAAATAAATATAATAATACACCTACACTATATTTATTAACTGGAAAGTCAATAGCTTTAATTCTATATAATATAATGCTGATATTCTAGTACAGTTTTTTTGTATTTATTATATAATATAATATTTGTATGACTTGTAGCCTCTCTTTTACCAAGGTTTAAAATGTTCATAAAACGCTTAAAATCTCTTTTGCGATTTTTAAAAAATTTAAAATAGCCATTATGTGAGATTAGGTACCTATTTATAAAATGGAGAAATACAATTTTAAATTAACAAAAGCAAGTAAGCAAATTATATTTTGAAAAATAGTGCATAATATAAATAAAATTGTACAATTGTATGGTTTCGACACTTTTATAACTATGTAATGCTAATCCAATAGGTAGGTAATAATTAATAAAGAACACGCTACGACTAATTTAAATTGTACATAATATTGGTTTTTTATTTTTATAATATTGTTCAGTATATCCACTAATAACTGCACAAGCAAATTGTATAGGACCATGATTTTTTTAATGAAATCAATGTGTCGCTGGAATAACTCGCACATTTTTTTTATTATATTGCCTTAAACTTAATTTTGTTAAAAATTTTGTGCCACCATGGGTCTATACAATTGACTTTTAAAAATTTGTGAGAATCGAGAGTAAACTTAAATTGTTTTATTTCTTTCTCAGTATATAAAAATATCCATGGACCCCTGGCAATCGCTGGGTAGCCGCGTGGGCCAGACCGACACTGGTTACCTCCATAGGCATATAATAGAAATTCTAACCTAACTGTCTAACTCTATGGGTTACCTCTTTCATAATACGACTGCACACGTTTTAGCGGGACCATAAACCTAACCTCTTAAATAATTTACAGTACATTTAATGTAAACACAAATACTGAAATACCTACCTACCAGTTGTTTCTTGAAGTTTTGTAGGATTCTACAACCAATGATAATTAGGTAGTATAATACTATAATATAAGTTTACCTATAACGTTAAGTAGTCAAAAAGTGAATTTTTTAACTTATCTAATTTGTGAAATTAGTTAGATTCAAATTGTAATCGAGGTAATCGAGAGGAGGTGGTCTGTGAGTTTTTAAAGGAAGGTGGGTGGTAAAGTAAGTAATACTTAATTTAGCATTGACTAGCTAATATTTTAGTAATTACTATGAATACAATGAAAAGTAGTACAATACATGACAGTTAATGCCTTTTTCAGATTTTTAGGTGAGAGAATTAATAGACTAGCTTCTGAAAAATATTTCAAATTTTCCATGCCACTGGTAACTAGTATAAAACTATAAGAAATCTAAAAGGATAAAAATATATCATGGAGTATTATTTTAACCACACAAAATGGATGTAATCAATCACCAGTTTCAACTACAAATAATTATCAGGTTGTGGACTTATATATTAAAACAATTTATTTAAATCTGTGGCCCAGTGGGTGGGGGAATTGGTTTATTTGGTTAATAATAATCATATATAATTGTATACAATTCTCTATTATATTATATATTTAAACAACAGTAGTATATAATTTAAAACAAAAGTTTCAATCTAAATAAGTTGACATATGCAACAAACAAGCAAGTAACTTAACCAAATGATAGATTGAAGTATTGCTTCAGTGAAATATGAACCATACAACAAAATTAATGTAAAGCTATGTTTTAGACAATACAAATTTAATTAAAAATAAAAATATTGTAATTGAAATTACAATTTGCATCTACTGATAAGTTGTAAATTATATTACTGGCTTATTTGCCGAGTATGTCGAAGTATAAAATTTAGTATTCTACTATAATATGTAATTAGTTATAGAAAACCAAAGTTTGATACAAAATAATTACAATGCATAAGTAAAAAAAATATTAACAGAGGTATAAGTCTTAGAACATTAAATATAATATATTATATAGGACATAATTACAACATAAATACAAAATTTCAACACTTATAATTTTAAAAATAGTAAATACAAAATAAACACTATACAATATTTATAAAGATAGATCATAGGATTAGGTATAAAATCTAAATTTTTATTCTTATAACTTGCAAATATAAAAATACAATTTTCTTAAGAGATTTTAAAGTCTTGTTTGAATTTATTAAAGCAAGCCAAACGAGTCTTAAGGGGCCTCACTACCAAGTCTTTTTTTTGTCAAAAACTGCAGTTTCTAATTCCAACGATACGTGTCGACAATTATCACGATTTTCATTCTGAAAAGATATTCTGATTGTCCGTAATATATACAAGGGAACGATCGAGCCACATTTTTAATTTTTGTAATTTAAATTGCAATAAAAATTGTAAAAAAATCAAAAAAAAATACAGAATTTCCAACTTAAATATTTAATTAACTAAATACAATTTTAAAAATGTGCCTCGATCGATCCCTTGTACATGTTGTGGAAAATAAGAATATTTTGTCAGAATGAAAATCGAGGTAATCGTTGCGACATACTGTTGGAATTAGAATCGTATGTTTAAGTGAAAAATAACTAATAAGCATTTTTTCATGATCACAATATTATTATATATTGACATGTGTGTGCGAGTGCGTGCGAGAGCCCTCCGCACCACTACAATTGACCCGCATGAACGCCACACACACTAATAATCATTTACGACTAACACATAGATCTCGGGTGGCGACGACGAGATAAGAAATTGCCTAAATGATTCTCCTTAAATCAATGCCATTACGAGGCCCCTTAACATAATAATCAATAATAATAAAATAATTTATGTTCTATTATTATGAGTTATGCAAAGAAATTTCCAAAATAAATAAATAAAAACATAAAAAGATCTATCAAACCATAATATTTCATTTATTATTATCAGATGTTTAATTTAACCAAGAAACATGAATATTGAAAAATTGACCATTGTATGTACATTTAAACAACCGATATGTATAATAAAAAATATCAAGGGTATAGCAATGGACCTTCTAAGGAGTGACACTGATGTTCAAATATTTGATTTTATCATAAATAATATTTTTATAAGAATCAGAGAAATATGTGCAGGCTTTAAATGTTCATTAAAGGTAATATTGTTACATCTCATACTTTATTCCATAGTTGAATAAACCCTAACTTTGTTTGATTTTTAGGTTTACAGAAGTCAAAAGGTTTAATTTGTCTTACCAATTATTAGGTACATAATTTTGATATTTAATATTAAGTTATTGTATTATTTTTATACACATATATATATATATATATATATATATATATATATATTTGTCAAAATAGGACGAGTCAATGCATGCAATTAAAAATAAAGAAGTTTGGATATGAAAGGCTCCATGTATAAGAACTTGAAAAGTATAAATTTAAAAAAAAAACAATTTTACTGTGGAAAATATAGGTTGAAATACATGTTTTAAATAGCCCAGATAGCTGATTGGAGAACCATATTAAATTGACTTCAAGATCCAGTTGTAAAATATCTAGTTTAATTTCAGATATGAGAGAAACGACATTTAAAATTATATGTAAGTAGAACAAATATCACCGATTTAATTTAGTTGTGATATTTCCAACCAAAAAAACCAAATTATAAAAACAGTTGTAAGTCCAGATTGAATTAACGGCAAAGTCAAGAAGTAAAAAAAGCTCACCAGATTGCATGTGATAAAAACTAATTGAAACAACTTTAACAAGTACAAAAACAGCAAAACTGGTCATAAAGAATAATTGAAAAGGGAGTTGCAAGGACTATAAGATCTAGCTTTAAATATCTATTTTACATAAAATAACATAATATGTAAGTTGAACAAGCGTCACTGATTACTCTCAATAAAATTGTGATATTTCCAAAGGAAAGTCAGGCTGATGCAAGTACGCATGATGAGAAACTTATTTATAGTAGTTGGATTGTGCAATGTTATGTTTGAAATGCAATGAGAAAAAAATAGAACATTTAATTAGTAATATCATTTAAAATGTAATATATCTTGTAATGTTGATCTTAACTAAATTATGTCTCTATGATGTTGGAAAAATTGGGTTTTAATGTCAGCACACGCAACAATCTAAAAGCTATCCGATTTACATGAATTAAGTTTCATTATTAGTATTTGTACTGCCCGGAGTTCCAGCTGAAAAAAATTACAAAACTGGTAATGAATAAATATTTAAAAATGGATACCGATAAATTACATACAATTTTAAAAAGTCAAAATGCATAAATAATTAATATTCATTATTATGTGTTGTTTATTCCTCCAAAACCGTCTGTTAGTTGAAAAGAAAAATTGTAAATTTAATGCATTAGATTTTGTTATTAAAAGTAATGAAAAATTATAAGCAAAACAAAGATCAGAAAAAATATGGAATCCCACTAAATACAGTTGTTATTATTTACATTCATTTCATACAATAAAGACAGGTTTTTAAGTGAAAAAACAATATTTCTTCATAACTAGGGTTCGGATTTGAAGGCAAATGCCTTTCTTTTATTAATCATAATAGAAAAATAATTTTTATACAAAAATGTGTTTCATTTAATTTCTTAGACGATGGATGCATTTTTTTTTTACTTTATACTTATAAATACTTTTTTGCTTTTTTTTTGCCTATTGTACTTATAAACGCCTTTTTTGTGTTTAATTTTCAGTTGATTTTATAATTGTATACACAGCTTAAGTATTATCACTACAAATAGGTTTTATTCTTCGCAATATTTATCGATATCGTCTCATAGAGTATTTGATATGGCCATAAAATTACCTGTGCACCTATTTAAAGATCAAGATATGTTCGTAATGCGTAGATTCAAGATCGCCAGCATTCGTCGATCGCAATAATTGTCGTTCAATAATTTTCTCACGCGTTTATTTTATTCAATTTTTTTTTTAATTATGCCAAAAGTTAAACAAAATCACAATTGTAAGTTGAAAAAGTATGTTTCAGAATTCTGTGAAAATATTTTTTCAACCGATGGATTAATTTTATATTGTAAAATTTGTGACGTCAAAGTGTCAAGTGAGAAAAAATTCCATATTCAGCAATATATAGGAAGAGATAGACACAAAAATTGAAAATGGTAAAAAAATTCAGCCTTTCATGTAAAAATACCATTAAGTCAGATTTCAATTACGATTTGTGTAACGCGTTGGTTGCGACAAATATCAATATGAATAAAATTCAGGGATGGAAAACGTTTTTAATTTTTTCGTTTTCGTTTTTGTTTATTGATTTAAAAAAATATCGTTTTTGATTATTAGGTTTTTGATTAACGTTTTTAAAAACGTTATTTTTCAATATCGTTTTTGATTAACGTTTTTAAAAACATTATTTTCTTATTGTTTCCAAATAACGTTTTTGATAATTTTTTTTTTTTTTATATATAATATATTCTTATAGCTAGTAACTATAGCTTATAACTCGTGACTTTTAACTTTTAAGTTATAATAGTACCGCGCAATATAGAAATGCATTTGAAAGTTAAAAATTCAAATTAATTATCCTTAATATTTAAATTTTAAAAGTGCATTGGTAAAGATTAAAAACCCAAAAGTAAAGACTTAAGTCTCAAAGACTAAAGTGAAACACTATTTCAGATTTCTAGAGTAAATAATAAAAATAATCCAGTAATAATAACTCAGAAAATTAACATATTGGTAATTGTAAAATACTAAAATATTAAATAAAATAAAAATATAAAATACATCTTTGAATAAAAATAAAAAATCTGCACTTACACATTGAGCAAAAATAATTAAATAATGTATAATACTATAATTTATTTCCGTTTTACGTTTTTGTTTTCGTTTTTTGTTTTGTTTCATTTTCGTTTTATTAATTGTTTTCATTTTTTGTTTTGTTTCGTTTTCGTTTTATTAATTGTTTTCGTTTTTTGGTTTTTTTCGTTTTCGTTTTATTAATTATTTTCGTTTTTCATTTTTTTCCGTTTGATAACGTTTTTTAAAAACGTTTTCCATCCCTGGAATAAATTGAATAATGACGTTTTTAGATCTTTTTTATCATAATATTGCAAAAATATATTAAATGCGAATCGACATTACGGAAAGGAGACTTTGATAAATGATATGAAGAGGTTTTGTCGAAAATTAGTGACGCTGTAAGTGAACATAAAATATAGGTGTGTAATGACGAAACCGCAGATTAAGGACGCCGAAACATGGCTAACATAATAGTTGGAATTCTACAACCAGAAAGTCCTGGAAATTTGTATCTTCTTCACACAGACTATTTCTATAAGGTAAAAAGCCTATTTGACAAAGCAATGCATATATTGTGGCCAACTAATGTAAAATACGATAATATTTTGCTTTTTATATCTGACGCGGCTCCTTATATGAAGAAAGTTCAAATAGTTCAATTCAAACTTTGTACCCGAATATTATTCATTTAACTTGTTTGGCAAAAGCATGTCATAACGTCTGTGAAGAAGTACGAGCATATTATAAAAATGTAGACCAGTTAATTTCTGAAATGAAAAAGACATTATTTAAATGTTCAAAGAGAATCGCAGTTCTGAAAGAAAAATATATATAAAATCCACCTAGACCGGTAATTACACGTTGGGGTACATGGATTAATGCAGTAAGCCAGTAAAATACTATTTTTATTTAATATCAACTAGTTTATTTTGTAGTATATTTATGAATTGCCTTTTTATATAAATTAAATGCCTTTTTTTACATTTTAAATGCTTTTTTTAATGATTATTTTGCCTTCAAATCCGAACACTATTCATAACAAATATATACCAAATTGTATTCAAGAAACCATAAAGTTTATTAAATAGGGGTTCCACCATAGAGCTGTTAGATTATTTCGATTAATCGATTATTAAGACGATTATTTTTTTTTCATAGATTATTCTACAGTTTTTATAAAATTTGATTAATCAAATAATCAAATTTTTCGAATAAACAAGCCGATTAATCATTGTTAAATAATTTTGATCATTTAATAGAATATTTACTATTCTATGTTTGAATTAAAAAAGTCACAGTCAAGTTGACTGAAAATAAAAGATTTTTAATGGAACAATGAACACATAATATAATAAGAATAAGAATTATAATATACTTTAAATATTATTATACAGCAACATATATGTAAAGTTCTCAATTCATACTAATAATATAAATTAAATATTTAAATTTTAAATCTGTGCTAATATGATGTATTGAGTTCAATGATTCGTAATGTATTAAGGATAATATAAAAGTGGACATCTACATCTAAATGACATACTGAAAATCTTGTTTAAAATTGTGTAGAAGTTAAGGAATCAATTTACCCTTCGTAAAAAAATCGATTAATCAGTCATTAAAAAGAAATTGATCAATAGGTTATTCAGTCATTAAAAAAATCAGTTATCGATTAATCAGATTTTCGGTTTGATTATTAATTTTCGATTAATTGAAATAATCGATAAAACTTGAAATTAATAATTGAGTAGTAAAAAAAATAATATAACAGCCCTATCCACCATACATTAGGTATAGTAAAAACTATTATTCCTTATTAAACTTTTAATTATTACTACTAAATTTATATGAGTTGTTAAACTGAGCTGTAAATTCCTTGTAAAATGCAGTATCAAATAAAACAATTAATTTAACTAGGTATAAAATATAAATGATCATGATTGTAACTATACTCTATTCAGAATAACCTTGCCTACTTTTAACTGAGTCGCCAGAAGGGTCTGACCCCCCCCTGATGAGTCAGATGCACTGTGATTGGTCGTCAGTGGTTGACCGGTGCTGTTACCCGTCGCTGACTTTCGCCAGGGGGTAGAGACCCTTAAAGCAGCTCAGTTGAAAAGTATGAAAGTGGGTAAGCTTATTCTGAATAGAGTATATATATATATACATTTTATATGATCTGTTTACTAGTTTGATTAATAATTTATTTTAAATTATGATTATAAATATATATTATATTCATCAAAGGTCAAAGGATCCAATGGCTAGGACATATCCTAAGAGAAGAAAACAACCCTGTACGGGTTACTCTCGAGTGGAAACTTACCGGAAAACGACCAAGGGGACGTCCCAGGAAGAGGTGGATTGATGGAATAGCGAAAGACCTAAAGACAATGGGCATAGAAGATTGACATGAAGTTGCTCAAGACAGAGAAAAATGGTAGTGATGGCTAAAATTCTTAAAGAGTAGAATAGCCAAAAGAAGAAGTATAAATATATAATATATATGAGTTTACTGACTTGTCGTCCTAAGTACGTTGAAATAATGAAGCATTCGCACTATTAAAGACGCGGACACTGTAACTGTATCTTTTGATTGTTCCATCATTATTTCATTTCTTTCAACTAACTGAAATTAAAATATTAATTTAAGAATTAACGAAAATAATATGTATTTTAAATATTAATCAAATTTATGATTTATAAAATTACAATTAGATGATAGCATAATTACTAAGGTTTTTGAATTTTGTAAAACACCTGGAATATAAGCTTAGATAAGCTGTAAAATGTATCTTACCCAAACAGCAGCTAATTTATTTTTAAAGAAACCAGTTTGTTTTAAATATTGATTATTCACTTACTTTGGAGGAAGCATACTTTCCTCTTTATCACTAACATGATTCCAACAATATTGTAAATTATTTACAATAACTAACTAACATTCAAGTATTCAAAATAACTGACATTAATATTAAAATGTATTTTTGGTTTAATTTTACTTATTTTTTTTTAGGGATTTTTATCCAGAATACTATTAAACATAATATGTATAAGTTAAAAGCAACAAATTGTGGCCATATGTATCAAAACTCATAAATGATAAAATGCACTCTAGTAATATAATAAAAAGCTTCTAATTTATTGTTAGCTAGGTATTTAAGTATAAAATGTTTAAATAATATTTTAGTTTTACCTCTGTTGCAAATGATTGAGAAAACATTTTATCAGCACTTAGTGGACTCCAAAGTTTAACATTATGATCAACACCAGAAGTTGCAAGTAAAAGCCTACTAGGGTGTGGTTGAATACAATTAACCACATGAGCATCGGCCTTTAACAACATCACTAGTTCACATGTATAACGATCCCATACAAATACATGTCCACAATCACTGCCTGACATAATGAAGTCATTGCCCCAGAATGTTGCATCTTTGATCAAAGTTCTGGAAAAGTTAACAAATACATTTTTTTTGCAAGTTATTATTAAAATGTTGTGGATGAATTACAAGTGATGTTAAGTTGTAACACTTGACTTTACCTAGCATTTCTATGACCTTTATACTGTGCTTTGATTGCTTGAAGTGCAATAAAATCATCAAATACTGCCGGTTTTTTATTAGTTTTTGATTTATTTTCTTTTTTTTGAAAACTGCCACTTGAAGTGGATTGTTCAATATGATCATCATCTGAGTTGTTGATGCTGTAATAATATACAAACATGGTTATAGATAAAAAAAAAATAGACTATACTATTGGAATCATTAAAGACTCAATATTATAAACATTTTACTAATAAAAAAATTGTCTTTATACTAATTTTCTAAAATCAATTATTTCAAATTTAATATTTTCCTTTTTTACAAATGTATTAATCAATTTTAATATTGTTAAACTAACACAACTTTTAATAGGCATCCATAATTGTGTACCAATTATCATTTTTATAAAATTGTAATAAGCGAAACAACTTTAAATAAGCTTTGAAATAGGATTAAAAAATAAACAGTTTATCTTACTTTTCACTAGCTAAATTATCAACATCATCATTGATAGGAACATCCACTTCGTCTAATTCACCTTGTGGTTCAATTGTACTTAAAGTACTTGCTAGAGAATAATCTGGTACCCCTAAAATATTATCAACATATTATATCTAATTCTATACATCAATATAAATTATGGGTGTTTTAAATATATTCACTTACAATTTTGCATAAAGGCATTGTTTAATTCTGGTGTATTAAACACACTAATCAACATTTCACTCATTCGAGCCATAATTTGAGACTGCACCCTTGATGTTACAAGATTATCTATGCGGCATAAATAATAAAACATTTGTTTAAATACATTATATGTGTGAGCGTGTGGCACTGTGGCCAAAACTTAAATGTAAGCGTGGAATCAAAGTGAACATTTTTCATGTTTTTATTCATACACCCAATAATTTATTAAATCAAACTACAAACAGTATAGATGAAAAGATATTTACAATTATTGGATTGTGTAACTTATAGTATAAAAAAGTTATTGAATTTAGTTTCTTGATTATATTATATTTAATTATATAATTAAGTTGTATCACCAAGTAACTAACAATTTTCTTTTGTACTTTGTCTGTTACACCCCCTGAATTAAATTAAATATTCAATTTTTCTTTCATATTAGTTCACTTATTACTTATAAAATATATTAAACACTATGTCTAGAGTACTAAACAATTGGATAGATTATTATGGGCGCCTGAAGACAAGGTTGAGTATCAGGTGCTGGTTGTTCAGAGGCATAGCTGGGGACTATGAAGTATGAATACAGTAGGCAGTAGTTTTACAGTTGAGTCTTTCCTGTTAATTTAAATCTTAAGTATATCCTAATAACTAAAAAATTAATTATAAGAAATATTTTTAACAATATATAGTTATTTACAAATATTACATAAATATTAAAACAGAATAATTCAATAAATAAAGAAGGCATGTGAGTACCGCTCTACCGTGCATTAGGCATCATGTGCCCATTGTGCCCACACTGTAATAGATGTATTAAATTTAAATTCAATGATATGCATAATATAATCATTGTACACCAAAAACAACACTGAGCAAAAACTGTTACCAGCCTTTATTAAAAATCATTAATTTAAGTTAATTATCAATTTTTTTTTTTCCACTAATAAAATCTTACTTGTATTAAATTTCCAAATATTTTGATGGAGCAAAATATTAATTATCAACAATAATTTTAAAAACATCAAAAATCAAAAATGTCTCCTTCCCCATACCTAAAAAAGAGTAAAAATTCTATCTTAGATAAAAAAAAAAGGTGCTCTGCTGTACAGTAGGTTACAAGTGGGTCACTGTATAATGGATGGTATTAAATTTGAATTCAATGATATAATATCATTGTATAAGAAAAACAATTCTGAGCGAAGACGGTATGTTAGTTTAGGTATAAGACATATTATATACTTATCTATGGTATTAAAATAAATTGACCTAAAATAGGTACCTATAATAAATTCCAAATTAATCATATCCCAATATAAATTAGGTACTTATAACGCGTTATACTTCAACAACAAACCCTGATACTATCATAGATATATAATAGTGTACTTTAGAAATTTCAAGAACCCACAAATAGTATTATACAATCACAACAAAATAACTAAAATAGTTATTCTAGGTTTTTTATTATGTAATTTCGTCCAAATTTGAGCTTTAACTGACAATAAAAATAAACTGTGCTTATGAATTTTTTAGATTTTTTGTAACGGAATTAACTACTTACATAGAATCTTGTTTTAAATTTTCAATCCTTAAATATAAAAGTTGAATATTTTATGAATTTTTAACTACAAAATAATTATTCATTTTTAAATTTGATAAATTTTGCCAAAATTCAATCTTTAAATGCTTATAAAAAAAAACTGTGATTAAGGATTTTCAATATTTTTCATCTGCCTTTGGAACAAAATATTAGGAGCCTTTTATTAAATTTTCAAGCTTTTTTAACCAACAAATAAAACTTTATTGATATTTATAGAAAAAAAAACTAAAAAAATTGAAAACTGAAAATTTCTGTTAACAGCTCAAAAAAAGTCAAAATATTTTGAAAATTTTATGTAGTATAAGAATTGATAAAATACACATTCAGTGAAATTTTCATATTTCTACAGTTATTTGTTTTTAAATTACAACAAAATAAGAAAATCGCTACATGAGAAATCGAGTGAATATCCAATCTTGTAGAAATATAAATTTCAAACGCTCATAAAAATGTAATTTGACTTTCTCATAGACATTTTTTTTTAAATTCTTAACTCAAAGTAATTTGCTAATTTTCGTGATTTTTCCATATTTTGTCAATTTTTGAACTATAAATGATTATAAAAAAAACTGTGACCAAAGATTTTTAATATTTTTCAAATGTTATAGTAACAATATAGTAGGAGCCTTGTATTACATTTTCAAGTATTTTTACTCAACAAATAAAGTTTTATTGACATTCATAGAAAAAAAAAACTAATAAAATGGAAAACTGTAAATGTCCTTAAGCAGTTCAAAATAAATCAAAATATTTTGAAAATTTTAGTCTCTATAGAAAATGCAAATATAAACAACTAGTGAAAGTTTCGTGTATCTACGGTTATTTGTTTTAAACTTACACCAAAAACGATTTAGCATAAAAATTCCTGTTTTTCTTTAAATTTTCTTTTTTTTTCTTGCCGCTTTTGAAAATTACTGGAAAGTTTAAAATTTGACCTCCCCAATACACAAAGATATTCACTTTCCAATCAAACAAGATACTGAAATTGAAAATCGAAACATTATTTCGACTACTTATCGTGTACATAGACACAAAAATTAAAAAATAATATAAAAAAATAAAAAAAACCACACATCATTGTAAAATCAATACATTCATCGTTCTACTCAGAATCTAAAATGTATAAAATATTTCTTATAATTAATTGTTAGTATTATTAGGACTTACATTTTAACTACTTATTCCGATTACTCAATAACTTGTATACATAATTCATAGCGCCAGTTCTGTGGCCCTAAAAAATGTGGCTAACTTTTTCACAAGGCACTCGGTATTTATCCAGGTGCCCTATTCTCCACAGTATGACTAGGCCACTGAACTAAATTTTGTTCAGTGGACTGGGCACACGGCGCCAATTTTAGATATGAGTGCCGAATGCTCTAGACCCGAGGTGGCCAACCTGCTGCACATTTGATGTTATTCAATGGCACACTAGTTTCAAATAAAATTACACAAATGTCTTAAATATTTCTAAAATTATGTTTATAAATATTAATATAATATAACACAACAATAATTGTATCAAAATAACATTAATAATGTTATGTAATATAACATATTATCTGATTAAAATAAATAATAAAGTCAGTTGTGTTATAATAATCGCCGCCGTGTTAATTTTTATTTCTATTTGGCACAATATGGTAAAAGGTTGGTCACCCCTGCTCTAGATACAGCATAATATTGCTTCATACTTTCATACCAGTAGATGGTCGAGATGAAGGACCAGTATCTGCCCAGTCACCTCTTAATCTTAACCGTCTGTATGGTGGTGGAATTGGAGCATTTTCTAGAAAGTCATTTGCAACAGCTGTCGTACAAGAATCTTTACTGAGGCTAAATAGATATATTTCTTCATAGGAATAGCTGGCTAACACGTCTCTGCCATCAGGTGAGTATGCCAGTGATGTTATACGATAAGCACGATGACTAAGATGAGGAACAGTAAAGGCAAATTCAGGAACAATATTTTGAAATAAATCTGAAAACAGATTGAAAATTAATTTAGCTTTATTCTACCAACAGTTTAGAAGGCAAAACAAATGAAATTTAAATATAAGCAATTTTTTTCTACATTACAAATTTTCACACATTTACAATGTAATTCTTAGACTTTTGTATTTTCCACTACTCTGGACTCAACTATAATATTAGTCCCTAAACCTAATAAACCTCCTGATCTACTATCATCATATCGTCCAATTAGTCTCTTACCATTCTTTGCTAAAGAAAGGCTAATTCTTAAATGTATACTACCCATTATTATTGAAAATAACGTACTGCTCGATACCCAGTTCGGGTTTTGTGCTTCTCATTCGACTATACATCAAGTGCACAGATTAGTTGAAGCAATTTCCTATGCAGTGGAACAAAAATTATATTGTACGTGTGTGTTTTTAGACATCTCACAAGCTTTTGACCGAGTTTGGCATGATGACCTTCTGTATAAGCTTAAAAGATTCCTTCCACCTCATAACTATCTAATTATAAAATCATATCTCACAGAACACTATTTTCAAATTTGCTACGGTTCTGCTTTCTCCGACATAACAGTTATAAACACAGGTGTTCCACAAGGCAGCATATTATCCCCTATTCTATACAACATTTATGCTTCAGACCAACCAACCACTCTTTATACGTCAGTAGTTGACTATGCTGATGACAAAGCGATTATTTCCATCAACTATGATCCCCTCACTGCCTCTTTACATCTACAAAATCACCTTGCCCATATGGAAAAATGGTTTACCATATGACATTTTAAAGTTAATCAAAGCAAATCTATCCACATTACCTTCACCCTCAGACAGGCTCCGTGTCCAAAAGTATCTCTATATGGTACACCCATTCCTAGCTCTCCTACTGATAAATATCTTGGTCTAACACTCGATCAAAGACTTACTTGGGCCCACCATATAAGAACCAAAAGACTTGCTCTAAATACCGCCTGCGCACGCTAAAAATGGTATTATGCAATAATAAATACACTTCTACCAGTATCAAACTTCTTATATACAAAAGTCTACTCAAACCAATGTGGACATACGGTCTGCAGTTATGAGGTAGTGCAAAAAAAAACCATTGTTAACAAAATTCAAGCATTCCAAAACATTGCCCGAAGGAAATTAACGCGAATGCACCTCCTTCCGTCTCAAATTTTACCCTACATTCAGACCTAAAACTAAAATCAATAGCTGATGAATCTAAAAGTTTCTATAATAGATTCTACAACCACTTAAGTACTCATTCGAATCCACTTATCAAAAATTTGGCCTCCGCAACCATACCTGGTAATCCCCCCAAGACGCCTAAAGCGCAAGCGGTGTCGTGATTTGTTATAAAAAAAAAATAATAATAATAATAAGTAAATAACTAAGTAACCATAGAAAGTGTCATCAATCGGTGGCTTCTTTTATCAAATTAAGTTTCCTGTGAATGTACGTTTAGCCTATACCTATTCTTATTATATTAATGATACAGATTACATATTACTTGTAAAAATAAAAATAAAAAAAAACATTAAAAATTTACAAGCTAAGATTATTAACAAAACCCACGTTTTACTTGTGAATTAATATTTTCTAGTGAGAAATAAATAAATAATAGTAAAAGTATACATAATAACTTATTAAAGCTGATGTAACAAAAAAAAAAAAAAAAAAAAAAGTTGCTGTTTTTTAAAGATATAACTTAATGATAAATTTAATATTGTTATCATATTATTTACCTTTTTTCATAATTTTTCTTCGGTCAACTATTCTAACCATACTATCTATTGTGGCAATTGCAAGTTGATAAGGATTAACTGGGTTTATCGCAATTGTGGAAACAGGTCTACGGCAATCGATGAATTCATGCTATTTGATTTGGACACAAAAAAAGTTGACAGTAAGTAAAATATGCATAATCAAATAAAAATCATTTGATTTACGTTATTGCAACTTTGTTTAGTACATTTAACACCAGTTCTAAGATCATATTGGCGAACTGTACCATCTTCACTACAACTTAGAAATATATTAGGATCGTCAGGTATCGTTTCCAGTTTATAGCATTGGCTACAGTGGCAAGTAAAGAAATTCCACTCAGTTTCTTCTGGTCTTTCCAAATCTAATAGTAATATACAAATACAAATAGGATTAGAAATATGTAAATTAAAAAAATAGCAAATATGCATGAATATTTACCAAGATTGAGAACAGAACCATCTGCACCACATGAAATGATACGGCTATTTGAAGTAGGTAAAAATTTTGCACAGAAAATATTGGTTTTATGTTTTGTTTTATAATCAACAAGAACTTTGTATGAAAATGGATTAGTAATCACTATATGTTTATCATCACCAGCCGTAAGTAATAAAGATCCAGAATCGTTCCAATTCACAGAATTCACACATCCGTCATGAGTTCTCAAAATTTTTTCCAAGTCAAGTCGTTGTACAAAATGCTTACTATCTGTAAAAAAAAATTAGCTGTTTAAGAATATGCTATAAACCAATGGCGCACACGGGTGGGTTAATAGGTCACAACATTTACAACCCCCTTGGGATATAACATTTACATATTTCTACATAGTTCAGCTTTCTCAGAAATCATAATATGTATAACCACCCCTCTCCCGCCCGGGGAAATAAACATTTCATGCGATACTGTTATAAATTACCGTTTTGTCAATAATCTCAATTTAAAATAATACAGTAATTTATTTGCTGTACAACCGTTTTAATAACACAATACCATTGTTGTAAATACATTGAAATAGGTACATTGAGTACCTACTATTTTATTTAATGAGCAATAGTTATTAATCACCATACAATTTTTCAGAAAATGTTTCTTCATCAAAATATTTGATTAGTGTTATTACAATAAAATCAGTTGTCAGTATCTACAAATATAACATATTAGTATACTACTATGTAAACGTAATAAACTAATATCTAATATAAAAAAGGCAGAAAAAGGATGATAAATTGTCCAAACTCAAAATGAATATTCAATATGGTCAAAACAATACATTTTTGATAGTTTTGTGGTACAGCCGTGCAAGATGAATGGATGTGAAGACGATGACTGTATTAAGTACTTATCATGTTTTTCCCGTGTTTTTTGTACTGTTATGGTAATATAATAATATATAATAACTAGCTGATCCCGTGCACTTCGTTGCTCGTTAAATGTACCAACTCTATATGACTCAAACTTTGTTCAATTCGTTATTTAATATTCGGTGTATATGGTGTTCAAAATGTGTCTTAACTTTTCCGTTTCCTGGAATAAAAATTCTGATTTGCAGCAGTATATTATCAGGTATAGGCAATCTACCTGTGGTAGATCGCGGACCCCTTGCTGCTTGTACTTAAGTGTATGTTTTAACTATAAATTATCAAAGTTATACCAAGTTGTCGTATTCCACCAATGGTGGATTAATTTAATCAATTAATACAAAATCCTAACCTAACCTAACCGTACTAATATCAGATGAATAAAAAAACCAAATTTAATCATTTTTAAATTAGCCTGCAGTCTTCTTCCCAGAGGTCTAATATATATACAAACATACATTTCTAATATATATATTGACAAAAATAATAATACAAATCAACAAATATCTATTATCTATTATTTTTTTTTTTTTTTATACAGGGTGTTTCTGAAATGAATGAGGAAACTAGTATATGCGTACTCAGTGTGATGACCCAATGATGATTTTTTTGAAAATTTTTTTCTACCTTCAAAATCTGGGTTTTTTCAATTTATTTTTAGAACATTATCTTAAATGTAAAAATAAATACTCAAGTTGTATTTTTTGTAAAAATCTCATACGAATCGAGGTGTCACATCATTTTTGAGCTTGTCGCGCGTTTTTCACGCTCGAACCGCCGATTAAAAAAAAATGGTGTGGCACATCGATTTGTATGAGAAAACTACAAGATAAACAGTGGTGATAGTTATTTGTTGAAATTTAACATACACGATTAATTAACACATAAATTTGATCATTTAAGACTCTGTTAACCCTAATTATGTTATTATTTATCATTTTTATTAGTTTACAATGTAAAACAATGTGTTAATTAATCGTGTATGTTAAATTTCAATAAATAAATATCACCACTGTTTATCTTGTAGTTTTCTCATACAAATCGATGTGCCACACCATTTTTTTTTAATCGGCGGTTCGAGCGTGAAAAACGCGCGACAAGCTCAAAAATGATGTGACACCTCGATTCGTATGAGATTTTTACAAAAAATACAACTTGAGTATTTATTTTTACATTTAAGATAATGTTCTAAAAATAAATTGAAAAAACCCAGATTTTGAAGGTAGAAAAAAATTTCCAAAAAAATCATCATTGGGTCATCACACTGAGTACGCATATACTAGTTTCCTCATTCATTTCAGAAACACCCTGTATAAATAACCAATACCTTAGCAACCATTTATAAACAATTATTTCTACCGTAAATTATCAAAATCCCTGTTTGAGCACTTCTTTTATTTTTTTCTGGACAACCCTTATCACTTAGGGGTATGAAAAATAGATGTTAGCCGATTCTCATACCTACTGAATATGCACAAAAAATTTCATCAAAATCTGTCAAGCCATTTCGGAGGAGTATGGCAACGAAAACTGTGACACGAGAATTTTATATATTAGATATAGTATTGAATAAGTATTGGTCGAGGTATTGGTAGACAATTTGACGAACTGCGAGTTTATAGCGAACGATTAATACTAAAATATTACATCTATGGACGCACAAAATACGTGCCAAGTGAGCAACCAAAAAGACGACTATGGGGTGCACAATTGCATACACAGGCACTTGGCACATCCCCACGGTCCACTGAGTCATGGAGTGCAATGGCGTAGCCAAGGATTATGTATGAGGTAAGGGGGGGGGGGCTATAGGGTTTGTGTAAAATCATTTTTTTTAATATATTATTATAATGTGGGCAATAGCCCCCCCTCCCTCTTAGCCCGCCATGGCTTAAGTCTGTGACGGGGCAGGTGCGAGCTAAGACTTACTCTTGGCGGAGTTATAACAAATCACTTTCGCCGAGCCCCGGTCGTTGTAGGGCTGGAAGAACACGTTCCGGAACAATCCCTCTGACGAGAACATGGTCAAGCGCTCAAGACAAACGGCTGCGCTCAGAACAGTCTGTCGGTCCGAACAATGGTTTGCGTCGTAGTCGTTAACGGCTCTCGTTGACGGCCGTCAGTTACGGTGACCGGCGACAACAGACGAACGGACGTCGGACAGTGGCCGGGTGCCAACGTCGAAATATATATAGCGAATTTCGCTGACGTCGGCCGCTTTAAATAGCTCTCGTGCAACCAAATAATAGTTTATATTTATATATACGTGATGCGTCAAATAAACGGCGAGGAAGAAAAATATAACGATTAAATTGTTATTTTAATTTTGCGGGCTCTCTGTAAGCGCGTAAAACGTAAATATTGCTTCGCGACTGAAGAGCGTTTTGCCGCCGATACGACACCGTATATTGTTAAATATTTACAGTTGCATCGTCATAAACGTCGGCCGGCGGGCCCGGATAACGAAATAACGCACGTCGTAATCGATAATTTGTACTGCCGTCGGCCATAACAAAAATATTATTATTATTGGTAAAATACTGACAGAGAAATTAAATTCACGACGTAATTTAAAATTTAAAATTTGTTATGTTATCTTCTATCTACATCGTGGGTAAAATTGTAAAATTTGTTTATCATGATCACATATTACAGGACAATTTTATGATCGTGGTCGAACCGGGTAACCGGACCATGGGATAGACATTAACCGGACAGTTTACCGCCAGTGCGCGCCAGTGTGTTGCGTTCTCCAAGCGATCAGCTGTGGCGGCCGACGCTGCTACCGCGAGTCATTGCTGCTGTCGTTGTGTTGCACCGCGGACACTGCGGACGCGGCTCAAGGTCAACCGACAATAGCGAGCGGCCGTCGCTATCATCGTCGTCCCATTGCCACCGCCACCACCACCGACGTTTTTTTGCGTTCCACTCACGTCCATCGGTTCGTCGACTCGGCCGACCGCCGTCAGTGTCAATCGTCGCACCGCCAGTCGTTACACGTCAGTTTGGTTTTCGTTTCTGTTGAGCGACACTCGTCGTCAGCGTCGCGATATCCACACAACCACCGCGCACCGCCGAGAGTATTTCCGCGAATCATCACCCGATTCTCTAAGCGGTAGACTCTGCCCGAGCTTGTGCGCGCGCGCCCCTGTGCGTTCCACTTCGACCAAGTCCGATACGTGTGCGTGCCCGATTTTGCCACGATTCGGTGACTGTCAGATATTGTTGTAATACTTTTGCTGTCGCATCCCGTCGGGTTTCACGTCGCTGTCTTCCGCCACCCCCGTCGAGCCGTCGTCGTCCGGGTCAGTGCGTGCCCCGCTGTTGTGTCGTATTTCGCTGTACGCTGACACTTGCAAACACGGCTCTCCGGACGCGCGCCTCGCGGCTGTTGACGACATGCCATCGTGTTAGGTCCGACGACAGCGGATGTAACATGAACGACATTGAAACGATCGCAGCCTCGGTGTTCTATTCCGCCAGGGACGGACGGCTAAAACGATTGCAGGTGAGCGTTGCCGACGTTTAGTTGGCAGTTACTAGGTAGTTACCCCTAGTACGGGGGTGCGATCGGTGAATGGGGTGAGAGGGGGTTGTTATGATTGTGGTGATGAACTGTTGAAGGGCAAAATGATGTCGGTGCTCGCGATACTCAATCAGTGTATGACGTGTGTTGACTGTTGTACAGTCTTGTATAGGTACATATTTTTGAGTAAGGTTCAGTGGACAAAGATCGATTGTGGTCGGTTAAAGTGCTGCCATCAGTCTGTCCTCTGACTTTTGGTATCCTTCGCCTTGGTCTCTGCACTTTCCGTCTTGCTAGTCAGTAGTTTCAGTTGTCGATGAATACAGTGTGCTGCTCCTCACCCCGTATTGTACTTTTTATGAAAGCTTCTATCCCTGCATGCTTGGGTTTTGGATAGCTTTTCTTTTTCCTGTTGACGTTTCCCTTGATACAATTGCCAGTAAAGATATCTAGACATCTAGGTAAATGTATTCTCAATTGATATTTGTCTACCTACACCGGAATAATACTAAAATAGTTTTTTCTCACGTTTCGTTGACTGATTGCTAATTGATTGTACACCTAGTTAGTTTGTTTTATTAATGAACAAATAGGTACCTACCCGGTTAGAAAGTTTTTTTTTTACTCAATTAGGTAGCAGTTTAACATTTGGCTTAAATATTTAAATTCATCTTTGGTTTTGACATTTAAATGTCATTCTTTAATTACATAAGACCAATATATTTTATTCTGTATTTTACAGAGGTTATCTAGGTACTAACTACATTCCTTACTTATACAGTTTTAAAAAATGTTTGATGTATTTATTTTACAGATTTTAAATATGTGTAAGTATCTACCTACATATCATAAGTTTAAAATCAATTAGGTATGTTATGGACTTTACAAGTACCTACCTACCTAACTAAATAGGATTATCAACCTTAATTTCATAGTTATTAAAGTTGTAAATTAAATAGGTAGGCAACCCATTAGATAATGTGCTCATTTATCAAGGCATTTACCTAATAAGTTTTAAATAATAGTTATTTTCATCATAAAAAAAAATTATTTTATAATTTTGCTAAAGGTAAAATAGGTGCCTAGGTACTTATATATATTATCTAATTTGAAAAATGTTATTAATCAATTGGTTAAATAGAATATGATTATATACATCACTGAAAACTAGTACATAGTTTTATAGCATAATATTAAAATGAGGTACACGCCAGTCGCCAGGTATTACTTCAGTTTGCTACATAATATTATGCCTTCTAATTATATTTAATCAACATATTTTTCCATCATAATCCTTTTGTTTGTACCTACCTATTGGTATTTTAAGTTTACCTACTTTAACATAATAAGCACAACTTGTAGGTATATAGTATTATTATTATTTTCATATTAATAATCATAGTAAGTTTATGATAATACTATTTTTTTTATTTTCAGATTTCTCTTAGTAGATACCTACCTTTTGTTGTACTTAATACTTTCATATATTTGTACTACCTACCTACTGGTTTTATGTTTATTTACAAATTAGATAAACAAGTGCCTACACACCTATGCATAATAAAATATTATAAATACCAATATTAATACATAATTATACATTTATACTGACATTTAGGATGTCTTAATAATGTGAACTTTGAATAACGTTATGAGTTATTGTTATGATACCTGCTGATATAATATAAAGTGAAAACAGTTATTATTTTCTCAACGAAGTACAAACTAACTGTGAGGTATTCAAATTAGGTAGTTAACCTAATACGACCTAATATTAAATGTATGCAATTCGGAATTTGGGATTTTTAGATTATTACTTTATGAGATTAAAATATATAATTTATTTAACAACTGGCATTGTCAAGGTACTATTTTTCGTTTCCCGCCAGTGACATTTTTTACACTACCTAGTACGTTGGTGTTCTTTTAGTAGAGCACTTTGAAATTCGATAAAAGTAATTTAATTGCGACGTGTATCGACATCGGTAACAATAAAAAGAGTTTGAATCGTTTCATAATTCGTTTAGGAGGTAAGTAGTGTAAGGTACCTTCTTGCATGTGTACGGTAAAAGATAATATTATGTTGTATAATATCGATCGAACAAAAACAATTCGTCGAACGTTGTCGACTGTCGTTGTCTACGTTTCTATTTTCTCGTGCAGTTTGTACGAAATTATGATAATAATAACACAATAAAACCCTCGAAAAAAATCAATGAAAAAATCACGTGTTCAAACACCGTCGCCGAAACGCACTCGTGTACCAGTGCATCGTACAATAATATTATTATGTAGGTTAGGTTATTTATGCTATTGATATAAAGTGCACAATCACCTCTTTTGTTAATTAAACAAACGATCGAAATCGTCCGGATAGTTTGAAACGACAATAATTTATTATTATACAGTTTAACGTTCGCGTGATAATATTATGGTCGAACAATATTGCGCCTCGAAAATAACAAAAATCGCGCCTGTTATTTTTGTTTTTCTCGTACGCAATAAAAAAAAGTATATATATATAATATTATAATGGTATATACTATTTTCGGGCGGTACACCGCGGCGACGCTGATTGTCATCATCGTTTTATAAATACAAAATAAATTAAAAATAATAATATTATCGTAGTACGCGCACGCACCCGAATAATATTAATAAAATTACTGCGCGTCGACCGAGACGTGGGGAAAAAAATTTCGTACGGACGCATTGATCGTATATTATAATATTTTAATTGCGCACCGTCAAAATATAAATCGGACGTTTTGTGTTTTTTTCTCATGGTCGCCACGTGACTGCGAGACGGCGGCCGTCGATTTTTATATGACGTTTTTATCGTATGTTATTCGAAACCGAAAGAAAACGACGGCCGGTTATCGTCGCACAAGTTTTCGGAACGAATATAATAATATTATTAAAAATATAAATGAAAACGCCGGCGCGTAATAATGGGCAATAGCTGCTGCGTCTTTTCGGAAGGCGGCAAGTGTTTACCGCGCGTGCATTTACGCAATTCCGGCGTAAACAAAAACCTCCGTCTCGTCTACGTCGTGTCCCCTGTTCTCCTGGCCCTTCGCCGCTGTTGTTTGGCTCTCGGTTTGCTTACTACAATACAATAATATTGCATTGTTGTTACATTTACTACAACGATATAATATAATAATACTTAAACGGCGGCCGATAACCCATCAACGATGACCTATTAAATCGAAGAGATTTTTGTTCAGGTCCGTTTTCTCCACCAGTTTTCTTGGTAGGTAGATATAATTTTTAACGATTCGTAACACTCCAGTGTGAACACTTATCGGACTCCGGAGATCCATTTTTATTTTTATTACCGTGTCCGATTCGATATTTAAAAAAAAAAATATCCGTATGTACCGTGTAAAATAAAAACGTTTCGAACAATTTCGTATTTACGTGAATGGTAATAATTTATCAGCGTTATTTAATTGCGTTCAACAGCTGCTGCTGCTTGCCGGTTATCGACTTCCACGGTTCCACGCGTCGTTACTTCTCTTATCTGAATAGGTACCTACTTAAAATGAAATAATAATAATCGATCATATTATTATTTAGGTTCATTATCCTATAACGGCTTTAATATTATTATGTTGTACTTCGCCAATATACATTTTACGTTTTTGGATTAATACATTATACATTTATTATACCTATGAGTAGGTTTAGTATTAAGTACGTCAGTGGCTGCTATATTATCTAATAATTATTAATGTGTAACGAAAATTGATTAAATATTATACCCACCCACTCTTTGTCTGATATGATATTATCTATTCTTTGTTTTGACTTGTAGAATGTGGCGATAATGCCTTGGTAATAAATTACACAAAAGGTCAACGCATTTTTTATAATTTAGAATGAAATAAATTATCGTAACTACATATTTATAACTTATGAAAGTAAAGAAGTTACGAATTGTGTAATAATCCATGATCTCAAGACGTAAGTAACTGTATAAAATAAGGATTTTAGCACCCCCAGTGTTTCCATTGAAAGCCTAGGGAAATCCGAAATACATCCCTAAACGAAAAATACGATATTACGTTACCCATACGTGGCCACCGAGTCAGATGAGAATACCTATAATACCTTAGTTATCTAGTATAATGTATTATCGTTGTTCTTATATTCTATAACTCGGTGTACGTGGGGACCGCTAGGACGGCAATTATACAATAATAATTATTATTATCCTACGTTGTAAACACGGCAACGATGAGCGAACCGTTGTCCGTCGTCCAGTTCTTTACTTCTTTCCGCCACAAGTTTTGTTGCGGTTGCCAACAGGCGGCGGCAGCGGCGTCACCGTCGTCGTGTCCAGCTGTAAAAACGGGTTTCTTTGTGCGCTCGCGAGTTATTTTCATATCGTGCCGGATACCGTCGTCAACGACGTAATTGGTTTGGTTGGCGACTGTTCGTTTTTCAACGAGATCTCCGTCAGTGTAAGAGATACGGAATAATAATATAAAATAAAAAATAATAATAATAAACGTTGGCCGTTGTATCTCCCGAATACTAAACTCGTGCGTTTGTGTGTATGCACGCGTCTATATTATGTATATATAGCAATAGCCTACCCTACCCACTTGACGGCCGCCGCTGGACGCTTTCTTTCCCAACGAATAATAATAATATTATTATATTCAATATTGTTGACGCCGGAGTCGTGTTTACAAGGTCCGGATGATCGGGTTCCCCCGCCCCTTGACCTTTATTTTCTATCAAACTACATTTTTTAAAAAAAATAATAATAATGTGAATAATTAAATAACACAAAAACCGATAACCCGCTACACAACTGATAATACTGTGGTCTGTGAATTGGTACGATGAAAACGTTTCGATTTCGTACTGACACAACTGTTCTGTACCATTTTTTTACAAACGACAAGTTGAGTATGTCATCGAGAGGTAATCTAATACCAGAACCAGATAATGTGTTAAATGTATGTTTG